ATGGCTATGAATTTTACACACTCAAGAAATCCTTAATAGATCTTGTCATTCCTTCGGGTTTTAATTTTAAAAATATCCCAAAGCACCTGATTATCCGCACCGATGACATCAGTAATTAAAATCTAGTTTATAATTATCTTATCATTAATGAACAGATACATTTCCACACATACCTACCTAATAGTTTGAAACCATATGCTGTATTTATCAGGCACCTCCACCCATCCACTGCTGTCGAAGACATACAAGTCAGCTTATTTGATATTGGCTACAAAGTTATTCGAATCTCTAATATTCTACATCGTTCCACTAAAAGACCTTTGCCTCTTTTTTTAATTAATCTAAAAGTTACTGATAATAACAGTGATATTCTCAAATTATATTTGCTTCTTCACACTAGAATCAAAATTAAGCTGCCCAGAAAAAACTCTCCCCTCCACTTATCCCACTGGTAACTTTTGCCACCAATCTCCACGTTGCGTCAAATGTGGAGAGAACCATTATAATTCAGATTGTACCAAATCACCATCAGAGTGCCAAGGCACACCAAGTGTGCCCTATGTTCAGAGCCACATACAGCCTCATATGAAGAATATACAGTGTTTACAAAACTTAGTAAAAACCGCAGAAAATCTCCATCATTCAAAACTTATTATCATCCGGTGCTCAATCACAACATTCCGTCTATAAACAAAATAACTTCCAGTCCCAACAAGAAACAAAAACGTTCATATGCCAATGTTACTGCCAACACTTCGTCCTCAAAAGCTACGCCCGAAAGCCTAATCTCCAAATTTCACGAAGATTTCAGAGCTATAATTAACCCCTTATTACTTCTATTAAACACAATTTTCAACCACTTACTTCCATTTTATTTTCCTATACCTTCTCCTTAAAACTATTGTAACACTTATGAGTATATATTATATTATATTTATGTTAGCTTTATATACAATTGTTGAAGCTAATTGTAAATCTACAAAGTTTCATAAATAAAAAAATAAATAAATAAATAAATTAGATAACCTTTTTGACACGAGAATATTGGTACGACCGAAATATATGAAATCATGTTACAATATTAAAATGCACAAAGAATAAGGATATGTTTCATTCAACTACGCTGGGTTATGATGCAGTGTTTCGCAACACCGTAATTATTATTTGAAGTTACTCATTAATGTAGAACATTACAGGTTTGAAATGTTGATAATGAATACCTAATTATTTTCGTGTTACATCATAATGTTACATTTAGTGTGTATATTGTACAAAAAACATTTTGAAATTATTAGAATGAGTTATAAATAGTTATAGGACGAAACAATACTTGTGTATTAAATAACACTATTTCGATGTAATTTAGTGTTTTTGTAGTCCTAAGTTGGCGGTCAAGTTTGTCAGTGTGTAGGTGATTTAAAATTAAATTGCAATAACTCGAATCCGAAAAAAGTAATTAAAAAAATTACAAATTGCGAAATTTCTAGGTTGATCGAAACATAGGGATTGTTTAATGTATTGATCTTTTTAACTTGAAACCAATGTAGCAATCTTCTTGAATGAAAGAGGTTAGTTGGTTAATTAATATTTCTAATAATGATTGATATTGTAAAAAACATTAATTAATTAATAAGGTTGGTTGAACTATTAATGTTCTTATTAAAATATTTCGAAATTATAAAATGGCTATAACCAAATAACTAATATTGTTTGATGGAAACTCATTGAAATATCCGATTTCGTTAAAAAAATTAATTTTGTAACGCTTATAACTAATTTTTGCAGCTTTTCAGTTTTTTTTTTTTTTTTTTTTTTAGGCTACAAAAATATTGTTTCAAAAGTATTTGTATCACATTTTCAGGCTCTAGAGTATAAACATTTTAATTTTATATATTTTTATCAATATAAAGCGAATTTTCGTGATTTTTATCGTTTGTCTATAAATAATATACAAATGTTCGTGAATTATTTTTTGAAATCAAGCTCAACATTTTTACTTTAATCAGCAATCAATATAGGTATGTGAGGCATTTTATATTCAATTGTCAAGATTTCTTGTCAAATCGGAATTATTATATCAACATTTTCAAAGAATGCTAGGAAAATATGAACATTTTAACTCTCTATAGATAGTTTAAAATAAATATTTGTAAAAAAATACACCATATGTATATAGAAAAAAATTATAAGCATTTAGTGAAAATTATATATATTTATAATATAATATATATTATATATGTTTCTGTAATTATTATTTATTACTATTTTTATAAAAATTCGATTTTGTGGCAAACCGGTAGTTGTTACCAATTATTTTATAACTTTTCGTCAGTTTTTCACTATTCTTACGAAAACTATTGGAAAATTCGTAAGTTAATTCTTTACAATTTGCTAACTAAATCTCATACGATTGTGATGATTGGAGCAATCCAATCTTGATATAAATTATACGGATACAAAAAAATTAAAAAAATACTCTGGTAATATTAATACATTCATCGTTTCAGTTAGAATTTAAAACATATCAATGAAAATTAGACTTATCTATATTATGCTATTTTGTAATAAGTATATAATCCCCTAAATATTAACAATCAGAATTTTTAATAAATTTAAATTTATGGGTTCGTATCACAGCGACAGAATTTGTTTGAATAAATATACACCTCGAGTTGTAATTGATATTGAACAATTTAATTAATATTAATAGCAAATAACTATAACCGTGTATAAATTGATCCGGCTTGTTTATGATATTTTATGTAAAAACAACTGAAATAATTTTTTACGGGAAAAAAAAATTAATTTGGCTTAATTAGATGTGAAAACGGATAGTGTTGTACACGTATGCAAATCTACGTAATTAATTATTAATGTACATTACTCTGGGATACTAAAAAAAAAAAAAAAAATACAGAAAATTATTTAAAAAAAAAAAAATCCAATTTTGTTTTGTCATATTATAAATTAGAACTCGGAAAAATGGATGGAATTGAGAACGTAGAAAGAAAAAGAGGCAGAGAAAGAGAGTGAGATAAGAGAGTATAAGAGAGAAAGAAAAAGAAAAAGTTAGGGAAGGGTTTCTTTTTCTCGTAAAATTGTTTCGTGCAGCATTAAATATTTTATAGTTTTCCCGCAAGGCTATATAGTACCAAGAAATGCTCGCAGTGTTTACGAACGCGTTTTTAAACAGTTCGAACAAATAGGCATATATTATTATTATTATTATTATTATTATTATTATACATATAAAATATATGATGTTAGTGCTAAATTACATACGATCTATGTGAAGTTTATTTTTTTTATGATAAATCGAAAGTCGTGTGATACCTCTATAACCGCGTATCGTTGCACGCACTGTAATATTCCGAGTACATATTTTAGTGTACCACCTACATGTGAACACCTGTCGGAAATTTATTTCGAACCATATATTTTTACCTCGAAGGTGTGTTAGGTGGGAGGGGAGTCACTGTACAGAGTTGCAGAGTTAGACAAAATCAAATCAAAATGATGAATAAGAAATAAAATTGTGGAAAATTGATTGTTTTGCGAACAAAGAATAACGTTTTATTTTAAATAGTTTTAATCGCGAATAAAAAATAAAATTTATTGTGAATAATATTCACAGTATATTGGTGCCTAAATTGCGAGTAAATAACTTGTCAAAATTGGCCCATTATCTAAAATAATATAGTTTATGATTTTTTTAACATTTTTTCTATTACATTTTCGATACCCGATAATGTATTTCGTATACGAAAAACACCGATTTAAATTTACAATAAAGTTTGCATTTCAAGTGTCTACGAATTATTTGAGATAAACACGATTATGTGGAATAATGCATAACGAATAATTGAATAATGAATAAAGCAGTCTAGAACGATCCCGTAGAACAACGGATGCCGAAGAATTGAATAATGAATAAAAAAAATTTGGAACTACCCGTAGAACAATGAATAATTTTTTGTTCGAACGATTTTTTTATTTGACCGACGCCCAACTCTGCCGCCCCCGCGATGGTATTTTAATATATTTCTTCCACTGGAGAACGTTCACGTTCTGTGCAGCGCCACCGCACATCACTTGCCGGCGACACGTACGACACGCACGCGTAACCCACTGCAGTGGTGTATTGGTAGTAAATATATTTAAGGGTATCGGTGGTGGATCTAGGATTTTCTCATGGTGGGGAATATAAAATATTTTCGTAACATGATATGTACAGGTATATAAGACTTATTCTACTAAATTTATAAAACAAGATTTAATTTTTTTGATGACTGTGCCATTACTCTACGGCTGTATCCCGGATCACGATATAAGTATGAGGTGTGTATCCGTAATTTGATATGAAATTAGATACTAATGTATACTAGTGTATCCTTCTTGGTTATGAAATATTAAAAAAATAGGTTTTATTTAAATTGTTCATGCAAAAAATTGTTTTAACCCATGGCCCACGGGGGGAGGATTTATCCCCTATACCTTCTCGTAGATCCGCCACTGAAGGGTATACGCAATAATAAAATATGTATATTAATCCTAAAAAAATGTTCTCGTTTCGTTCGACAATTTTTTTTCTGGGTAAACTCTAATCAATTAAATTAACCACTTACATGTTTATAAGTTCTGATAAGACTATAAAATACAACACCATAAGATATACATTGGCCGCGCGTTATAAATTTCTTGGTGCAGATTTATGATCCACGAGCTGAAAGGCCATACTCTGTATTATATTTAATAACATTTATTTTTCAAAGTATTATTTACTAACTGAACTTAAAATACATTTCACTGTAATTTGAACTGTAAACTGCACACTGTGATCTTCAACATATAAATATTTCGTTCAAACTTCATAGTTCATAATGATTTTTAAAATGAACTATTAAATAAGTTTTATTTGATTTACGAGTTATTTTAGGAGCGTATACCCGTAAAATATTATTTTACATTAGGGATACGCCAAAAATAACGCCAATACTTACGTTGTGGTACCACGTGAGCTTCGTGGACGGCGGGTTGGCTTTCACGTGACAGTCGAAGTACACGTCGTCACCCTCTTTGATGCCGTTCGGGTCGATCGAGTTGCCCAAGCGCAGCGAAACGATCGGAGCAACTGTAACACACGTGCCATATCATACGTATTAGTTCACGCATATGATATTTTGTATTTATATTTATCATTAGGATTCTGAATTTGAAATATTTAAAATTATTTTTTCTTCTTTTAAACGGGTTCAGTCATAGATGATTAGAAATAATATATTGGTTATACTCAGAAAATATTTTCTATATTCATTTCACACCATTTATTTTTTATATGGACAGGCTATTACTTATTTCTTGTTATGTACAATTATCCGGTGTATATTTCAAAATGGGTTTGAAAATAAATATCAAAATCAATAATAAAATACGGCTATTTTCATTAATTTCAATAAACAAAATAAAGAGTCGTTTAATATTTTATATTGCTGCATTGCTTATAAATAGGACTAGAAATAATAAAAAAAAAATGTTCTTCACAGAACTAGAAATCTAAAAAGTATTATATTTATTATATTATAGATTTATAAAATATCTTCTATAAATATGTAACCTACGAGTATTTTCTATGCTTCATATACTAAACCAGCTTATATTCAAGAAAATAAATTTCATGAATCTTTAAAACCCTATTTATTATTATCGACGGGCTGAACCCTATACAAAAATTTAACATGATAAAATATATTAAAAATATACATATGTATTGTTGTCTTATATAAGTACACGATATAAATGTATACGTAAGACACGTAGACACCCGCGTGAACGTGAAATACATTACGCGGACGAAAGATATAATTTGCCTGTGGTGTTGGTGCACCGTATACACATATTGTATCAATATTCTATCCGTGTACAATGTTTCGTCGGCGGGAAAGAGCTAAGAAATCAAAAAAAAAAAAAAATTAAACAGTAGAAAAATTTCGTTGGTTATAACGCTTGCCTAATGGTCGATTTCAACGCGTAGAGTTCGAGTGTGATTCAGAGTTGGTGAGAAATACGTATTTCACAACCTCGAGTTAGGTGGTAACTTCATGATAATGAAAATCCCTACTCCCAGATTTTAACCGACAATATTTTTGAGTGATAAGAGTCAACTTTATTTACAATCACGGTTTAGTAGATACCATGGTGTTACAACTATGATAGTGGTTGTTGATTATACAGGGTGGTCAGTGGTAAACGGATTTTTTTGAAATTAGTATTACTGGGAAGGTGGTAGTCTCCCAAATTTGCTGCCACTCTTATTTTGTAACGCGGAAATGTAATTTTAGTAGCCATGGATAACTTGAGCGTTGAACATCGTATTTTTGCTGTTTTCGAATTTATTTGAAATGGCGAGTCAATTGTGTCCACGTGACGTGCTTTCCGTCGTCGGTTTGAACTCGGTTTGCATAACATTCTTCCAGCGCCTAACACAATTTTGTGGTTGGTGAACAATTTTTGTACTTATAGTAGAGTGTCTGTCCTACACCACCAGTAGTTACGCCTGAAAATGTTGAACACGTAAGAGCGTCAAGGAGGCAATTAAACGTGAAATTGCCGAAATTCCGGACCATATGGAGCAGAAAGTTATTGGCAACTTTAGGGACCATCTTGAGCAGTGCATCACTGAAAAGGGTTGCCATTTAAATGAAATAATTTTTAACACTTAATAATTTTTCATTTTTTTTCATTATGTAAATAAAAATTACCATGTTCCTCTACATATTATTTTTACTTTCAACCCTATATGACTAAATTAAACAATTTAACAGAGTTTTGAAATGTGTCCATCTTTTCTTGACTACGCTGTATATTGAAAAATTGTTTTTATTTTTTTTTTTTTTTTTTGTCTCGGTTGAACGAGCAGGATGATTTATTAAGTATCCAAGTAGTTGCTATGCAAATATTAAAAATTAGAATATTAGAATAACAAATAAGAATAATAGAGCACCAAATTGATTCACTCGCTCTTATTAGAAAATTACGTGACGTGTCGTAGTTCACCCCTGTTCACACATGTCACGATTCACAACTGTTCAACGTCCCACCGACTAGACGGATTTATCGATATCTCATCGATTATACCCATATTACATCTACTGTCGAACGGAAATACCACCATTTTTTTTCTACTGCATTTTATCAGTGATTTGATCAAGATTGAAAATTGTCTATTCGTTTTTATTGTTATTACTGTCCACTGTCGTTATCAGTTTATTAAAATATACAATACGTGGAAACTTAAAATATCCGAAAAAATTTTAAAACTTGAAAAACAAATGACCAATTTTATCAGGCTTACCTATCAATATTATCAGAAAAAATATAAATGTTATCATTAACAGAGACTTTCAGTACTGCCCTATTTTAAGCTAAACTCAGATTAACTAACTTTCATCAATAAACCCATGGTAAAAACGAAAAAAGTTACCGAGTTATTGAATAACTTGGAGTTAAATATTATAGACTTTAACTCCCACATGGTTAAACTGGACATGAGTGTAAAGATTTTTAATAAACAGATGGAGTGATAATATTCCGAGCTGATGTCAAATATAATACTTGGTAATACCATGATGTAGATAGCACCAATAACGTATAAAATACATATCATAAAGATATAGCAGTGGGTGGCCAATTTCAATAGATTCGTGATCGACTTCTGAGCTTTTCTAATTGTCACGAACAAAAACATTGTATGGTAAATCTATGTGAAAGTATGAAACAGCGAATCGCTATGTACATTCGATGGGTCCAACTATCCAAATACCATTTGACCGGAGGAAATGATTCAGAACGTGTGTGTTATAGGATAAAAAATATGTACATTACGTTTATCTTACAGATCTACTTAATAATGCGATTCTATTTCAGAAAACTAATCTAAATTCGTAAATTCCACTTGAGATCGGTCAGTCCATGTTTTAAGATTTCTGATTTTAAGCCTGAATAATTAAGTTTGAAAATGTCTAAACTTTAAAGTATTCAAAACAAATATTTATGAATTAGAAAGTAAAATTGAGGAAAGTGAACTGACCTACCTTAAGTAGACATTTATCAGAAGACTAGTGTGTTTTGGCTAGAATAATTGATCACCGTCAATCAATCCCCTTTTCCGGAACCGGCCGGTTGGCAATCGTATAGTGGACCATTCCACAGTCGCTAGAAACATAACTTGATAATAGTCACCAAGTCTTAAGGGATGTTAGTTATATTCCTAATGTGCATATTTGATAATTTTATCACGCATTGATCGCAGATTAGGTCTCTCCGCAGAAAAAGAATAAGTGAACATCTGGTTTTTTTTTCTCCTGCCGCCATGGTTTTATTGGACTCCAGCTGATAACACTGCACGTATGTAAGTGTTGTACACCATGGGACGGTGCGTTTCTCACCGGAAAAATAATGAACAGTGACAATAAAAATCGAAGAAATAATAATTATAACGAATTACGAAAACTACATAAGTACTGCAGCAGCGCATACGATATGAACGACTGTACAAAAAGTCACCTGGTCCACGCATAGTATACAACTATAGAATATAATAATACGTATAATCATAATAATAATGATTAAATATAATTAATGGTTTATTGTTGTTCTAATTAATACTCGTACAATGAAATACTCCGACTGATAAATTAAATAAAAAAAATTAAAAAAAACTCATAGATTTTCATGTTTTAAAATGAGAAATACGCTTTTTGTTGTGGGAGGCGCTCAAATGTATTGAACACCGAACAAGTGACAATCTAATTCATGTATGAGATAATAACAATAAATAACTGAAGATATAATTTAATAAGGAAATACTGTTTACGGTATTGTAAACATTTGTCATTAAAAATTGTAAAATTGCAAAAATTTATATAATTCCTCGGCTAATTACCTAGTCATTTAGCAGAACGCTTGACTTGACTAAATGCCTACAACATATTACGCATATTGTAATGCCGTCCGGGAAATGGAATTATTGTACGCCTCATCGCCGTATGCCCCACTCGATATAGATTTATTTCAATAAGCCGGGAATAAAAACACGCACTGCATATATTATTATTATAGTAATTACCAATTACATTATTGTATGTTTCCAATGTATAGGTATTAGGTTTAATACCGTCTGTATTCGAAGAAGCCAATAACGTTTAATTATCCATTGACCATAATATGGTATATAATATACTATAACATCTTTATGATATATATATATAGCGTGTTCAACGATAATGATAACACGAAATATTACCAACATAATTGGTCAATTTTAAAAATAGACCAAAACTTTATAAGTCAAAGTTGTTTAAAACAAATAATGTAATCCAAATATGAACTCAAAAAATAGAGATCGCTATTTAAAAAAAGCTTGTTTTACTGCGCATGCGAGGAGAAAAAATGTTAAAAATGTTAATTTTTCAAAAAGAAGTGTAAATTCAAATAATTTTACAGATATAAAAAACCCGAATTAAATAAAAGGTGATGTGTTGGATATATTTTGTGTTACCTTTATCGTCGAACACACTGTATATAAATATATATATATATATATAAGAGTGGTCATACGAACACGAAGAATAATATTATTATCATTATCCATTCGGTAAAAAAAATTATAACACTTACATCGTAGTTAACATATGTTTTAAATTAATATATTAATAAATTAAATACTTGTATATTAAATTGTATAATATTTAATAAACTGTTATACGCGCGACAAAAAATCCGAAGTTGCTATACATTTCATAAATATCTCATACAAAATGTTTTTTCGTAGTAAATTCAAATTAGCGTTCTGGTAATGTAAAGTGGTACTACTAATAGGTTTGTAAATATATCAAAATTACAATATTGAAATTTTGAAAGGTACACGTATAAAATAATGTTATACATTGTGTCAATATTTTTCAACTTAAACGATAACAACAACCCAATGAAAACGTTATCAACATTTTTTTATTGTTAATGAAATATAATTGATTTATAGACATTAGTTTAATTAATTTTAGAAATGTAATAAAAGCTAATTATTCTATTATTGAGGGCCTAAACTTAACGAAAAAAAAAATATATAAATAT